AGGCGGGGATCGAACTCATGCGGAAGTGGCTTTGACTTCTTTAGTGCTGTGCTTTAACCCGCTGCGCCACCAGGGAGGGCCATGGAGGGATTTTTAAGCCTTGCAAGAATGAGAAAAACAATCTGGGTTCAGGAGTGGGTATTTCATCTGAGTTTTCTTGGGAACCCAACTTTCCTCTGCCCTCATTTTAACCACCTAAGACAGCATAAAGCCTGGCCTTGCTTCCTCATCTTAGAGAAGGGTTAGTTTACCGTGTCATACATCTCTTGCTCCCAGAACAGTTGTTTTTGTGATCCTATTTTGGGGCCAGGGAAACACAGCCATAAGCATTGGTGCCAATCTTGGTGTCTCTTAGCCACTGCCCTAGTGCTAAATCTGCTTCTCTCCAGCTCCCAACCAGAAGTGCTGAGAGTGGACAAGGTCAGTCCATGGTCAGACAAAGATGGTCATTCAAGGGCTTTAGCCTTTGTTTATTATTTTGTAAAACATTACAAATTGCTGCCCCACCCTCCCCTCACAGAATAATTATTAGGAAGATATGCTAAGAAAATGAGTGTGAGGACTCTCCTAAAACTGAACCATTTTCAAATCTATTTCAAACTCTTATCTGGGGAATAAGTCATTTGGTTTCACCAGAGCTGTTTTCTAAACTACCCCAAAGTTCAGGACTTTGTCAGAATCCCTGATGAAAATATAGATTTCTGGATCCCACCTTCGATGTACTCAGAAACTCCATCAAGACCCAGGGATTGTCTTAATCCAGGCCCTAAGCGATTCAACTGCACACCCAAGAAGAACTGTTTTATAGTCAGGCAAACAAGGCTTGTCTGGGACCCAGAGAGTGAAACAAGAGAGATAACAACTCCCCAAAGGCTGGTGTGGGAGGGCTACAGCAGTCACTGGGAGGGATAAGTGGGAAGGGCTTTGGCCTTCGTTTGGCCCAACCCCAATTTCACTGATAATGAAATTGGGGCCCTCAGAATGCAATAGTCCATGTCACCCAGGGCTTTCATGAGACAGGCCTGCCATCTTCTTGTTCTCAAAGCCCTCGCCACTCCTACCTTTCTTCCCCTCCAAGTGCACAGGTGTCTCTGTATTATGGAGTTCTAGACCTGACTGCCACACTTCCTCCCAATGTCAGGTCAGCCTACCTACTTGCCTAAGTTTTGAGCTAAGTAGTTCTTTTCAAACGCCCTTTCTTGGTACTCCTGATCTCTGGTGGTTTGTTGTTGTTTTTAATCCAGAGAAAAAAAAATTTCATGACCACAGAACAAACAGTACAGTGACTTTTCTCACAGCAAGAAAAAAACAAGTCTCTTGCAATTCTCCCAGTGTCTATAAGGTCTTTGGGTACAGGGGCCATTGTGACTTCACTTTTTAAACTGGGGGTGGGGGGGGTGGGGTGGTGCCAGGTGAGTGCTCCTGACTGAGAAGCTGGCTCTGCGGGAGGTCTGACTCACCCCCTTACCTTCCAGAGTTTTCCTTTGGTAGCCACAGCAAGCAGAGCCAAGGGATCCAAGGCTCTTGGCACAGATGACACACAGGCCACATACCTCCATTACCAGGGTTGGCAGGCAGCCCCGGAAAGGGACAGAGCACACACAGGTGAACCGGAGTCTACTGAAACCTGCTGTTTACCAGCAAGCTTTCTCTCCCTTTATCTTAGGACACTGATGAGAGACTGAGCCGTTTTAACAAACATGTTTTTTTTATTAGAAAAGTAAAAAATATTGCATAGGTTTTAATACTTGAACATCAAGTGTATTCATGAACAGCAAGTATCTTCATGTAAACAGTTCTAGATGGAAGACCCAGATGGCACTCCTCTGGGGAAGGGGTTCCAGCCCCCACCCCAGTTAATCCCATCCCCTCACAACTCAAGCTTCAGCGCACAGCAGGGGATGGGTCAAACAGCTCTCAAGTGTAGTTTTTTTTTCTTCAAGTGTCAAAGATCCCAAGTGATCCTAACACCCACCCCTTTCTACTCTTACATTCATGCGTCTGTAAGATAGCTGCCTAGAACAGGTCAGTAGTGAAGCTCTGATCAAACAAACAAACAAAAATATACAAAGAACAAACACATTTGGCCCCTTCAGACCATGAGATACACCAACCACCTGGATGACCTCCCCCCTCCCACCAGAGCTGGCTACCATGAGCATACATACATCCCTTGCAGAGAGGCCAGTGCAGCCCAGCTGCTCTCCTGTTGTCATACCACTGTTATCTTAACTGTCAGTAACAATAAAAATAATAAGGTACATGCTACATACACATCCAGCCAGAAGCCTGGTTGGCCCCTAAGCCTTTGTTTCATGCTACAGTACTTGAGGGGATGCCACCTGCGCATTCCTCAGTGCGCTTCCAAGGAAACACAATGTTTCCCTCACCACCAGCACCATCCTCCCCCTCAGGTGGCTATTGTCAGTTTTCTAAGGACAGGCATTAGTCCCTCAGTTTCTGCCTGCCTATGTGCGCCTCAGAAGTCCAGTTTTCTCTGCTGTGGGGGCAGTGTCAGCCCCCCAGACCCAATTTAACATTCCTCAATAAGCAGCTGCTCAGAGCTGTACAGCTTCTTCTTGATGACTCGGAAGCCTGTGCTCAGCGTGAGGGAATGGCTGAAGCCAGGGACGAACGGAGAGTTGGCAGAGCTAAACAGCCCCTGGATCTTGGGCCAGAGGCGTGAGTCCAGGCGCAGCACGAGGGTCAGCTGGAAGGTAGGCACCAGGCTGGGGTCGAGGGCCAGCTGCCCCACGCTGTGGCAGCTCTTGCCCTGCTCTACGCAGACATCCAGCAGCGCCCCCCGCAGGCCGCACGGCTCGCTGTAGGCCAGGCGCAGCAGTTCTTTTCCCACCTGGCTCACCAGCTGGCCGGGCATCAGCAGGCGCGCGGGGCGCCGCGAGCCCAGCCGCGCCTGAGCCAGGTTCTCCTGCAGCAGCTGCATCAGGTTGGCACACAGGTGCTCGTCCTCGGGGTCGCTAAGCAACTCGAAGTCGGGCAGCGACACCCCATCTAAGTATGCCGAATCTGGAAGGGAGAGCACACAGAATGAAGATGTAAGCGCAGCTCCAAAAGGGGGAGGTGCCGTTTGGCTAAGAAACCAGCACTCGGTTCCAGTCTGTGCCTCAGTTTCCGGGCCCCACTCGTACCCTATACTCTAACCCAATTCCCCTCCACCGCAATCTGGGTCCTGATCTGGTAGGAAGGCAAGGTGGCTTTGACTCCTTCCAGTACGGAGCTCTTCGTTCTTCCCCGACCCCTCCAGTCGCGTCTGTCCCCGCCCACGGCTTACCTTCCTCCAGCCCAAAGCCACTGTTGCTGCTGTCCAGAGATTCGCAGTCCGAGCTCTCCAGGCTCGCACAGCGGCCGAGCCCCTCTTCTCTGGCTGCTGAACCCCAGGCTGAGCGCGGCGGTTGATCGGGGGAGAGAGTTCGGGACGAGGGCGAAGAGGAGGACGACGAGGAGAAACGATCCCAAAGGCTAGGCATATTGACGGCGGAAGCCAGGACGTTGGCCGATGAGCTCAGAGAGATGGAGCGCAGAAGCTGTAAGATAAGAGGAGCGAAGACCCCGCGTCAGCCTGCGCGCTGGACCAGGCTGCGAGCCTCACAACCCGCACGGTTGGGGCCTCGCAGTACAAGGATCCGCACACACAGAAGGGACACTCACCGGCTAGTGTGGTCAGCGAGAACGCCAGGACAAGTGCGTACTGCCGCTTGAATGGTTGCACGGACTGGTGCCAACCCCAGAGCGCTGCCCAGACCTGTCCCTTGAATCACCCTCACCTCCCCCTCGGCCTGCCACGGTCCCTAGCACCAGCGCCGAGAGGCCTATAAGGACTAGCGCGGGGAGACCACGCCCCCTCCGCGCCGAAGCCCAATCCCGACCCGGGAGTGTGGCCTGTCTCTGCCAATGAGCTGCGAGCGCACGTTCGCAACGTTCTCTCCTGCCTGGTGACAGCGGCTTCGCTCCGCCCCTGTTGCGCCCCGGAACGCTCCCGGCAGAACCCCGAGTCGCGGCCACGCCCCCTTTCTGGAAAGGATCCGCGGCGGCTGCAGCTGCCAAGGTCCCCGAGGGCGCTCGCGGCAGGGGAGGATCAAGGAAAGACTTGTTTATTATAGGGTCGTGCTGCTGGGGGAGGGGGTGGCCCGTGACCGCGCCGGGAGAGAGGCAGGGGAACTTGAGGGGGCAGCGGACGAGGAAAACGGTTGCCCCCAGCGTCTGGGACCCTGCGAAATAAGGGCACAACTAGGCGCAAGGGTGAATGACCGACCCTGGTGCACAAACCCCACGCAATCCTCGCCTTGGGAAGGGTCCGCGTATAGAGGAAGGGTCCAGAGACTAGGTGGCTCTAGGTACGGAACTCCCCATTCCAGCGGTCCCACCGGCTTTTCCGCCTGTTACTCTAGAGCCCCAGGGGATGGTTTCGTGGGGAGGGGGGTGGCATGCCCCCACCTGAACCTGGCCCCCAAGCCGAGTGCACTCCCACCCCACCTGCATTAGCTCTCGAGGAGAGGATTTTTAGAAGGGGGACCAAGAAAGTGTTGCTAGGTCGGGATTCCTCAGCGCTTGATCCAAGGGCTGAGAGAACAGTAACCCGGATCAGATGGACAAACCGACCCGACGCACCCGCGGGCGCTGCAGGCGGACAGCTTTGCGGCGGTGCCTCCCCCACAGCTGCCGAGAGCTCCGGGGTGGCCTCCGGGTCCTAGCGCTCTCTCGTGAAGAGCTTTGTGTAAAAGATCCGGAGAGTTGCATCAGGACGGTAGACCTAGATATCCAGGAAAGCCCGAGAGTGCAATAGCCATCCAGTTTTCATCATTCAGGAGGAGCCTCGGGGAAACCTAGCTGGACCGTGGCATTCTGAAAATGTGTTTGCTGAGGGTGGGTGTGGGTTCGGAGGAATCTTTAGTTCTTTAAAGGTTTATCAAGCTGGGACAACACCAGGACTCTGATGGAAGAAGGAACCAAACTTACTTCAGAAGCTCGGGTTCCCGGACTGGAGTCTAAACCTATCAAACAGGCAAGGCCTTGCCCCAGGCGAACTTGCCGGTGACTGAAGAAACTTGCTGGAGAGAGTTCTAGCCACTACTGTCCTCCCCTAACACCTCTTCCCATTCCCCCCAGGGAAAAAAAAGGGGGCCCCTGGGGCCATCTGGGAAACAACTAAGACAACAAACAAAAACCAAATTAGACTTAGAAAGGACCCCAATTCAAAACTTGCACTCCACCCCTCTTTTACACAAGGGAGACTACCCTCTGGACACAAATTAATGGATAAAAAATATATCAGGTGACTCATTGGGAGATATCTTAAAAACTACTGCAGAATAGCATAGTCTGGGGATTTCAAGGGCTGAATATTGGTCCTTTTTATCCTCCAACCTCCAGCCTTAAAGACACCTTGGCAGAGCTTTTAGACAAAGTGCTTGGAGGTCCCCATGGGGACTTCTCTTGAGATCACCCTTTACTGAGAAGGGAAGAGAATTGGGTAACCTTTACAAATGTATCTTTCTGGCATCCACCAGGTCTACTGAGGTGAGGACATCTGAGCCAGCAAGAGGTATGTATAGCGTTTTGATTTTTTCTTCTTTCTCTCTCTCTAAAAAAAAAAAAAAGATAAGAAATCAGAAAAAGTGGTGGTTTTAAAGTATACATTCAGTTTGGAAAGTTCGGGTTAGTAGGACTCATTCACTCACTCAACAAACTCCATCATGGAAGTAGTTTGATAAGCACCTTTTTTTTCATTCACTGTCTCATTCTGTTAATAAAAGTGTTTCCCTGCTGGGAAGGGATGATTAATGAGCACTGAGTAAGCTTTTCCACCGAGCCCCGCTAATGTTGTCCCATTGTGTTTTTAGACTTTTTTTTAGAGATTTATTTATGCATACAGAATTGATGGCACAGTGGGTTAAAGCACAGCATTATGAAGCTTTCCACAGCCACTGCAGCACAAGTTTGATCCCCAGCCAGGGAGGTAACCCACATGGTGCAGCAGACCTCTCCTGTCCTGCCTGCTGCTCCCCTCAGAAGTGTGTTTTAGTCAGTCTGCCTGTTCTCCCCCACCCTGTCTCGGGTGAATCCTCTCACCCCCTGCACCTCTGGCCTGTACCCCAATTCTTGTGTGCATAAATAAATAAATCTTAAAAGAAAAAAAAGGAAAGAAAAGAACTTTGAAGGGCCTCTCTGGTGGTACAGGGGTTGGGGTTGAATATCTTGAGTTCGATCCCCAGCCGGGGAGCTGGCCCACATAGCACAGCAGACCTGCTCTCCTTGTCTTACCAGGTATATTTCAGTAGATCTGCCTATTTTGCTCCCCACTTGGTCTCTGGTGAATCCTCTCATCCCTCACACCTCTGGCCTACACCCCAGGTCTTACATGCCCAAATAAATAAATAAATAAATCTTCAAAAATTTTTAAATTAAAAAAAAAGAACTTTGAGTCTTAACTCTGGAGATGTTCCCTAGAGTACAGTGAGTGGGATCCAGGGGAAACAACTACTTTCAAGGAGGTCAGACTGAGGCCTGGTGGACCTTCCCACTTAGACTCTTCACCCTGTAAAGGAAACAAGATCTCATGCCATTGTGTCTCAGGGGAACCTCTAGACCTAGAAAGCAGATTTCCTAACCTGGCTCCCTCTGAGGAGCCAGGGTGAAGGTCTTGGCTCACTCTATAAGGTGAAGGGTAAGTCCCTTATAACTGGCTGGGACTAGAAAGGCTTTATTACCACCTCACACGCCCCTCACTGCATTAAAGCTATTAGGTGTAGGGGACCTCCAGAAAAAGCCAAAATGTGGCACTCCTTGGGACATTCTGTCTCTCAGCCTCTGAGCCAGACCTCCTCAGAGTTCTCAGAGATCCTATAAATCTGAATTTGGTGTTTCTGTCCCACTCTAATCCCCCTGGGGCCTAGACAGCTGCAGGTCAGATTTGCCTGGACATGTTCCCACCAACTCTGACATCCCTTCTTTCCCCAGGAAGATCTCCACAGCTCTCCATCTCTTACATGTCCCCTTTAGGTCATCTTTACACCCTGTGCATATCTTTGTTACTAATGATTTCCTTTGTAGTCTTCCCACTGGACTGTGAACTTCTTGTGGGTGGTGTCCTACTTTTTAAAAGAAATGTCTGGTAGCCAGCACATAGTAAATACTCAGTGAATATTCTTTGTTGGATGGATGGTGACTTTCCCCAGAATTAAACAAACTATATCTGGGTTTCCAGGATCAATGCTATCATTCTATGTTTGACAAGTGCTTCCAAGACATAGCTGAGCCTTGGACATATCTGAGCATTGCCCTTCCTCCTCAGTTCATGTCTAGGAATGAGGCGTCTGAGACGACATAGTTCTTCCAGTTGAAATTTTGTCAGCTACCCAAGGAAACTAGGGAGAAAGTGACATTGTACAGAGTGCTAACTTATTAGAAGTCTTTTAAAGCAGCCAATCAGCACTTTACTTTCAAGTGTCTCAAAATACAACATTTGGAAATGAAATTCACAGATAGGGCCCTCCCTGGTGGCTCAAGGGATGAAAGCACAGCACTATAAAGCTATCCAATTTCCCCTGCTGACCAAGGAGGTGACCTACCTGGTGCAGCAGACCTCTCCTGTCTTGCCTACTGCTTCCCTCAGCAGTGTATTTTGATCAGTCTGCTGACTCTGTCTCTGGTGAATCCTCTCACCCCTTGAACCTCTGGCTGTACTCTGATTCCTGGTTTTTGTATGCATAAATAAGTAAATCTTTAAAAAAAATGAAATTTACATGTAAGACTAACCATTTTAAAGTGAACACTCACAATGTTGTGCAACCAACCACTTCTGTCTAGTTCCAAAGCATCTTTATAATCTCAAAGGAGACCCCTTTCCCATCAAGCTTTTCACTCTCAAAATACTTTGAAGTTTGTATTACCTAGTTGGGAGTATGGCTATACAACTCCAGAGGGTGCCATTCCCATGTAGACTCTGCAGTTTAAGAATGTTTCCTAGGGAGTAATGCTCCAAGGAGCACTCACCACACAGATATAGGGTGCAACATGGAAATCTACAAGGCAACGCTGGGGAGACAGGCTGAACTCCATAAGCAGGAGTAGACTAGTGTCATGTCTCAAGTGACCCAAGTCTTCTGGAACTAGTAATCAGGCCTATGCCCCAGTCTCTGTGACCAGGGTTCTGGCCAACAGTTCTGCCTCTTCCTGAGTGCTGTTGCTCTATTCCCATTGGACCATTATTAGCCTGCAGTTTAAAGGCAGTGAGCTCTCGCTGCTGGCCAACACCCCTCCCAGTTTGGGTGGTTTCATTCCTGTGCACCAATTCCCAAGTCTTTATCTGGTGAGGTGCTCCATCGGGTTTGGGGAGTTAAACCAGATCTTAGGGGTGGGGGTATGATTCTGATGACCCCAGAATACTGGATGGGACACTCAAAAGGTCAGCCAGCTGTTGTGCATACCCTCTGGAGCCCTTTGGAAACATCTGGTGGAGAGTAATGGAGGAGGCAGGAGGAACCAGCAGGGCAGGGTGGTGGGGAGAAGGCAGAGCGGTAGTAGGAGGTGGGAATAATGAAGCCAGCAAAAGCATTCCCAGGACTTCTGTGGCTTTTTTACTGGAAAAACAACAAATGACTTGGTGAAAATAGCAAGATTATAAGTGCACCTGGTTTCCTAGAGGATTGTGAAAACCCAGAGCTTCACTTAAGTAGTTGATTGTGTTTACTAAAGTAAACTCCAAAACCCAGTAGGGAGTCTTTTTGCAAATGAAACTACTTTTAAAAGTGGAAATACTATATATATATTTGTGTGTGTGTGTGTGTATTTATTTATTTATGCATACAAGAACTGAGGTGCAGCCCAGAGCTGCAGAGGGTGGTGGTGAGAGGATTCAGCAGAGACAGAGTGGGGAACAGGCGAATGTACTGAAATACGCTACTGAGAGGTATAGTAGGCGAGACAGGAGAGGTCTGCTGTGCTATGTGAGTCACCTCCCTGGAAGAGGATTAAATTTATGCTGCAGTGGCTGCAGATAGCTTTATAGTGCTGAGCTTTAACACCTTGTGCCATCCAAACAAGGGAGGCCCAAAAAATACATTATATTGTGCAACTTTTCAAAGAAGCTTTTAAAAATTTTTACCTACTTGCATTTTTAGAAATGAATATAGTCCCCATTCTACAGATGAAGGAATTGAGTCCTAAAGAGTTCAGTAATCCTTCCATCAACCAACTTCAAGTCTGAATGGTAACTAGTATCATCGGAGAACCTTATAACCAGAGACTCTATTTCTCTAATCCCCATTCTGATTTGGTAGGTCTGGATGGGCCCCTTTTGTATGAAATCTCTTCAGAAGATTCTGATGGCTCATCTTTAGTTGGGATGTTTGCTAACCCCTTAAAAAGAAAGGTAAGTCCTTGGAGGAGTTTGCTCTGCAGCCTGTCAAAGGACCTACTGTGGGTGAAATGGCATGCAGCCTGTAGAGGCCAGACTCATGTGTAATAATGGTGAGCTCACAGACAGCTAGTACTGCCTGGTTTGCAGGTTACACAAGAAGCTATTTTCTAGGGACAGGGCAAATGGAACTCCACAAAGCCTTGGCTGGATAACCACTAATGACAATGGACAGAGATTTTTCAAAAGCTAGGAGGGGAGCCTTCTGTTTACAGCAGTGGTAAACCCACAGAGATCTATCTTGTCCCAAATCTGAGGTGCTCTTTTTTCTTTTTTTTTTAAAGATCTATTTATTTATGCATACAGAACTGGGGTACAGGCCAGAGACGCAAGGGCAGTGAATGCATTCACTGGAGACAGAGTGGGGCACAGAACAGGCAGACTGACGAAGTATTCTGCTGAGGGGAGCAGAGGGCGAGACAGGAGATGTCTGCTGTTTCATGTTGGTCACCTCTCTTGCCAGGGAAGAACTCTAGCTGAAGAGGCTTAGGCTAGCTTTCCTAGTGCTGCAGTTTAACCTGTTATGCCACTGGGGAGGGCCCAACTATCTTTTATCTTGCGAACCCACCCCACTGCATTTTAGGAATCCCATTTGCTCTTTCTGTCACTTTTCCAGTATCCCTCTTCCATCCTGGTATCTGAAACTCTAAAAGGAAAGAAAAGAATGAAGCAGCAGGAGATAGAAGCAATAGTCTCTTCTTTTTGTACCAGAAACCTCAGCTAAATGGCTCTCCATTTCTGGAGGCAAACCCAGATTCTGTAAGGAAACAGAATTCACCCAATCTGAGTTCAGGCTGTTTGGTCGCTAAGAATGAATACTGCTGGGGGCTGTGGCCTAGGGAGCATAACATGTCTTTGAAGTTAGGCATTTTTTATTAAAAATAATGCAATTTTGCATTCTATTTTATTTTACCAGTATTAGTTTTAGGAGTAGACTGTCAACTACTTATTAGTTAAATTATTCAATTTCTACTCTCCTCCCCTCCCACACACCCCAAAAGCATGTTTTAATAAATAGATAATCTGTGTTTATACTGTGGCTTCTTGTACTATTGGGTTTTCATATCCCAGTTTTGAAAACCCAGAACTAGAATCTCAAAGCCTTCTTCAACTTTCCCAGGATCACAGCCCAGGAAAAAGACACTTTCCCTGGAGCAACTTTCAAAAAAATCCCAGGCCTGGCCTGTAGGCGGATGGACCAAATGGAGGAGGCCTACCAGAGAAGGTGGAGACTGGCATTCCCATTCCAGCACTTTCAGTGTTATTGCCTTTTGAGGGTCTCCAATTGCCATAGATCAAAGGGTAAGGTGGGGTCAGGGTGGGCTTTGTTCATCAAGCTGGGGGCGGGGTACAAATTGGCAAGGATCTGAAGCTGCTACAGAGGGAAACTGAATCCAGGTTCACGGCTTGTCTGGACAGCAAAGAAAAAAAAAAAAGAGCTCATCTTTTTTCCCTCCCAGAGAAAGAGACCAAGAGTGCTGTCTAGCCTCTGGGCACCCCAAGGGGCTGGAGTAAAGTATGGCTAAATTAGAATGCTTAGCAGAGAGTAATTGGCCCTCTCAAAGTAAGGATTTTGCTGTCAGTGGAATAAACCTTAGAATCTTTGAATGTGAGGGCGAGCAGGCTCTGGGAGAGCACCTCTTCCAGTACATCCCCCCATTTCCTCACTTTATGGACAAAGAACTGAATTGGAGGGTAGGAGCCTTGTGAGGTGCTCATGATCGCTCATTCTTCTGGCAGTTAGACCTCACTCAATCCTCAGAAACTTTTTTTTCAGGCTTGTAGCCATTCCCTTACCCCTCTGTCAAGCTTCTAACCTCATTCAGAAGTATGTCTATATCTCCAGTGCCCAGGCTTAGTAACGAAAGGCTTGGGAAACTCAATTCTATTGAAAAGGTATTCTGGGGCCCTCCCTGGTGGCTCAAGGGGTTAAAGCACAGCACTTGGAACTATCCTTAGCCACTGCAGCATAAGGTCTATCCCCTGCTAGGGAAGGGACCCACAGGGCACCGCAGACCTCTCCTGTCTCCCCACTGCTCTCCTCAGCAGTGTATTTCTATCAGCCTGTTCTATTCCCCACTATTTCTGGTGAATCCTCTCACCACCCCCTATCCCTCCCCCAACCTTTGGCCTGTACCCCAGTTTTTAATGCATACATAAATAATCTTTCAAAAAAAAAAAAAGGTATTCTGGGTTTTTTCTTGAATTTCTGACCCGGCAGATGATGGGACTGCCAGCTCTGGCCAGCTTCTCATAAAGATACATGGTTTTAAAAACACTTCCATGTCTTTTATTGTTTCCCTAATTCTGTCAATAAAAATAACAACAAATACTTGTGGAGTGTAGGCTGAACAGGCCTCTCATCGATAGCACTATACAGGTAACAAAACAGGTTCCTTTAGGAGCAGTGACTTGCCTAAGGTCATTCCAGGCAACATATTGGAGCCAGGATTCCAGATCTAGGCTCACCCCCTTGATTCCAAGTCACCAACACTCCTAGTTATGAACTAAAAGAAACGGTATGGCTGGAAGAGAAGGTAGTACATTTTGGGGGACAGTGGGTAGGACAGGTGCAGTGCTGCCACAAAAAAAAAAAAAAACTGTCTCTTGTTTTATCTGATTTTTTCCTTCCCTGCAGAATTCAGCAGGGCCCAACGGTGCTGACTCAATGGCAAGGCCCATGAACCCCAGTTTTTTTCTTATAGCTAGAACCCAACAAATCCAGAGGCAACAATGCCTCTGTCACCACATCTCCCCCCCCTTCAGGTACTCTCCCAGAGAACTCAGATCTCTACTGCCAAAAAAAGGGCCGCTCTACAACCTGTCTCCTTTGTAACCCACAAAGAGAGATTTTTTTTTAACGCAGGAATCCAGGAGCCCCTGCAAAATCATTTTGATTTAAAAAACAAACACAAAAAAGTATGTTAAAATTCTGGATCTCTAGTTTCTGCTCTTGGAAGAGGCGTACACAAGAGTTCATCACGGTCTGCCTCGGCTGCTCTGCAGTGAAGGCTGATCAGAGCTGGGGGCGGGGAAGGGAAGGAGCCCCCCTCCTTTCCCCACAGCCGAGGTGCACCCTCAAGGGAGCCGGCCGCGAAGGTGGCAGATGCTGAGCAGCTGACTGGGGTGAGGAGTGGGGGGTGTCTCCGTGGACCCCTACCGGAGAGTTGGGGAAGAAGGGACGTGACTTGAAGAACGTGCGTAGGGGGAACCGGAGGGGGGCAAGCCGGGAGAGAAGGAATGGGGGTGGGCGGGGCCAGGGCTGTTCTGGCCCCGCCCACTCCCTGGAGGAAGGAGACTCCTCCCATTGCCCGGGTGGAAGGCGACCGCGCCGCGGAGATGCTGAGCTCAGCGCTTTGGTCCTGGCGCTGCTGGGTGGGGGCAGGGCGGAGGGGCTGGCGCCTCTCTGCTAAGGGCTGGAGAAAGGGAGAGGGGGAGGGAGAGAGAGAATGAAGAGGCCCTCACAACCCCGGAGGCTGTACCTCTTCTCAAACCGGGTCTGCTAACAAAGCCATCTCTGTTGGGATGGGGGAGGCCTTCTGGGTGAAGCCGATCCTTTTGGGGGTGGGTAAGGGAGTGTCTATGAGTCACCACTCTAAACCCTGACTTAGCCCAAGAACCCGCGTCAGTGAGGCCAAGCCCTGTGCCCTTTGACCTCAGGACTTGTTAGTGGAGAGAATGCCGGGAGCAGTGCCTGCCCCTTAGGGCTTCAGGCCAGAGATGCCAGGCTACATCCAGCTATTCCAGGATGGGAGTTTTATTTCATGCAATCTTGAAAGGAGCTTGGAAGGCTAGCTTGGGAGGGAAGGAAGAAAAACCCTTCGTACCACCTGGCACAAATGGCTACGCAGTCCAGATGGATGGGTGGCTATTTTTGAGCTGACCTACATACCTATTTACCTCTTTATCTTTTTATTATCACACATGGTTATTATGGGAGCATTTCTTTAGCACTTGCAGCTTCTGCCCCTGCTGAGGGCTGCACAATGAGACTTACTGCCTCACTTTCCCAGGAAGTTTGAAGTGTACCTGGCCTGGAAAGGAGGACATCAATAGGCTAGTAGAAGCTTCATCAAGCTCTTTCCCCCAAGGAACAGGAACCTAGTCCTGATGCAACAACTCCGGAACTGGTCAGCCCTGGAGGCAGGGAAGGACATTCAGATTTGATAACAATGTCACTAATGTCTGAAACCCCCTCAGCCTCTGATGCTCATTGCTTGCCTGTGGTGACTTTGTGATCCTACATGCAGCACCTCTCTGTGGCAGGTGAGACTTTCATTTTCAGATGGAGAAAATAAGGCACCCAAATAAGTTGTGGACAGAACCAGTTTGGGATTTACTATTCTGACTATGGAGGCAACTCTGTTTTCTGAAGTAGGAATAAGAAGGGCCTGGAACTTTCTATTTATTTGATCTTTGTTCAGCTTCACTAAGGCCTGCCTCTTGAACCTTTTAATAGGGTCCCATTGCTTTTAAAGCAAATTTGGCTCCTTACCTTGGCCTACTAAAGCTCCAGGGCAGGCCCTTTGCTTATCTCTGGATTCATCTCCCTCCCACAGCTCAAGAGGGGGAAAATCACATATGGTTCTAATTACCTCTGAAACGCTCTTAAATTTTCCATAAAGTACAGTATGCATAGCTTTGTGTATACAACTTTGCATGGTAATATATATGTAGATGTGCAAAATATATACAGCCATAGACTGAGGATCATAAAGAAGACATCAACAAAGTATAAGCATATAATTTACAGTATTTTAAATCACACTGACGAGAAACAGGCACCTGGAAATGAGAATGATAGAGGTAATAGCAGATTTCTGTCTTTTCCATCTGGTGAGTTCTCGGGCTTGAAATTCTTAGCTCTGGGAGACTGGAGGACTGCGTACATTGCTCTTTTTTTTCTTTCAATGCTGGTACAATTGATTTCACCCAACTTCCTTGTGTCTCATGAT